CCCATTTAAAAAATATATTCTTCTTCCTTTTTTAACTTAATTTTGTATGTGTAGCTCCTTAAATATGGCTTCTCAAATTGAACAAGCCTCAGGTTTTATCAAACCTGGATCTGTCCTTCAACTTGGGTTGTAGCTGAGCAAATGGAGAAAAGTGGAGATATTTAGGGTGTAGTTTGGAAGTAAAATAAATTCTCATATGGTTGTCTTTTGAAGGGCTAGATCCCATTTCTGAGGGATGAGTGAGTTAAAACTGAGGAAAAAAATGTAATTCCTTTAGAGTCCTACAACTTGGAACTAAGTAGGATGGAATCTAGATATGTTAGGTTCGGTTTTTGTAGGGTGGTTTTGAGGATTCGATTAGTTGATGCCGACAAAGAGCTTCATGTGGTGTCCAGCACGTTGTTGAGGGTGCTTGTAAGTGTTGCTATTATTAAGATGATAAGAGGTTTATTCTTTAGGTGCACATGTTTTTGTTGTTTTAAATTGGGTGTTATTTATTTTTCCATCCACTTGCCAATTTCTCTGAGGGACTCAGCCCACTCCGCTGTAGGTTTCCATTTTTTCTCAGTGGATGAAGAATCTCTCTTCTCTGCTTCCTGCTTGTCACTTTTCAGTGAGCCAGTGCCCATAACTAGGAGTGGCTGCTCATAAACAGCAGGGCTCTGCAGCTGATCAGCCTGTGGAGTTTCAGTAGCTGCTCATGCTTCACAGCTGCTTGGGTGAACCCATACATGGGATAGAAAGTGTACATGCTTCAGTAGGGATGTTGGTGGTACCCTCATGGTTTGTTTTGTTTTATCATTTTAATGCTTATTTTTGAGAGAGAGTGAGAGAGAGAGAGAAGAGAAGAGAGAGAGAATGAGCAGGGGAGGGGCAGAGAGAGAGGGAGGGAGACAGAGAATCCGAAGCAGGCTCCAGCCTCTGAGCTGTCAGCACAGAGCCTGACAGGGGGCTTGAAATCACGAACCTTGAGATCATGGCCTGAGCTGAAGTTGGACACTTAACCGACTGAGCCATCCAGATGCCTTAGCGGTACCCTCATGTTTTAAGAGGTGGGAGAATGGAGTCACACATTTGCTAATAATACATCAACAGGGGAAGCTGTTAGGCTCCAGTGCTGTTCTAAAATAATCAGATCTAGCTAGTTTAGAGTATTTTAGGCAGATTTAAGATGGAGAATGAGATGAGATGAGTCTAATTGTTAAAGATTCTACATAGAAGAACTTCTCTAAGTGATTTGCTATTGAAACTTGTTTCAATGACTAACAACTCTTAAGGTCTCTTTGGACTTCTCAGTTACTTCAGTGGAACATATTTTGTCACAGTTAATGAGGAAGAATAACATTGATCTCTTTGAGAACCACAATCTCATTCAAGTTTTTGTTTTCTATGTGTTATCATAATGAGTTCCTGCTTTATCATCCCACATGCTGATAGCCCTCTCTTTTTAATTTTTAGTTTTAATTTTAAGATCAGAGACTCAAAGGCTTTCAGGTATACAGGTACATGTTTAAATGCATGCACAAGTTGTTTTTCCTGGGAGGAAATGAGAGCTCTAAAATTGGGTGTTTTTGTAATGTTCCTTTCCATCTTCATGTAACAAAGACTATTGCTTCTGTTCTCCCAGGCTACCACACCCTTAATTGGTCATCATAAATCCTGTGGGCTTTCAGCAGTTTGCCAGGAGAGAGAGCAGTTACTTGTGTTTGTTCTTTCATTTGCTGGTATTCTGTTTGTTGGACTTCTAAATTAGGAGAGTGCCTGATAGAGATTCCAGTTTTAATTTGAATTCTGCACTTTAATTATGGGTTTTCCACCTGCTCAAGTAGGGGCTGGGACAACTTCTTTTTCTTTTCTTTAGCAGATCCACATTCCACTACCAGAGCTTTAGAACTCTCTGGGAAATAATGCAAGCCGATTGTGACTTCTTTCTTTCTGTCCCCAGTGTGGCACTTGAAATTATGTAAGATATGGGTCAGTGAGAGAGAAAGTCTGACTGGAAAGAGAAGTCATTCAGAATTGAAGATTCAGTTAGGATTGAGATTTGGGGGCAAAACCCCATTTAGTGAGTTTCTCTTCTCAGTTTGCTTAAAACACAATGACATCGAACAATCTGATTTTCATAGCATGAAGAGTTAAATGTTTCCATTTGAGTTTTATGATAGGTAAACCAGGTATCTTCAGAATTGTATGGTAAACTGTTGTCCTCAGGCTGAAGGATCATTCATTCTACGAACCAGTTTTTGCATGAACCTTTTATTTCTTGTAACAGGAAAGAGTAATTCCTACTCTGAACTTCTAATGATTGTTTTCCCTTCTCCCCAGTCCCCTCTCTAAATATCTATACATACATGTACGTAAACATGATTCATGCGTGCTGTTACAAGTATGCTTATATTGGTATGATATCAATGTTTTGTAGCTACAATTGAATAAAAGCCCCAACAGAGTCAGGAAGTGAGGTCACTTTTATACAGGCTTGTGAAGACGTTAGAAAGTCGGGCGTCTACAGCCCAGGGGTAGATGTCTTCCCTTTCACTGTGATAGACTTGGTTCAGTGTAATCACTGTAGGTCAATGTGGAGGTGATTGAAGGGTGTGCTGGAACAACTTCTCCAACTGTGCATCACTTACTCTGTGGAAAACTCTAAGTTCTCTTTTCCTCACTGCTTTTCATCTGATCAAATGTGCAGTGCTAGATCAATAGTTTAATCTCTTAACCCCAACAGGAAGAGGAAGGAATGACCTAATTATTGCAAATTCATCACTTATACTGCTTTTGGATGTCACCCTCCCCACCTCTTAGTCACCTCATGACCAGCTTCTCCTAAACTATACTATCCAAACATTTTGAGTCTGACCTACTTATTGAAGAACATGCCCAGAGATTTTTTTTTTTTTTTTTTTACAAATAGTTTATTGTCAAATTAGTTTCCACATAACACCCAGTGCTCATCCCCACAAGTGCCCTCCTCCATGCCCATCCCCCCTCCCCCCCACATCCATCAGTCCTCAGTTTTTGTCAGCATTCAAGAGTCTCTCATGGTTTGCCTCTCTCCCTTTCCCCCACCATTTCCCCCCTTCTTCTCCCCCTTGGTCCTCCGTCAAGTTCCTCCTAATCCTCCTATACGTGCAAACATATGATATTTGTCCTTCTCTGCCTGACTTATTTCGCTCAGCATAACACCCTCAAGGTCCATCCATGTTGCTACACATGGCCAGATTTCATTGTTTCTCATTGCCATGTAGTATTCCATGGTATAGATAAACCACATCTTCTTGATGCATTCGTCCGTTGCTGGACACTTAGGCTCTTTCCATGTTTTAGCTATTGTGGAGAGTGCTGCTATGAACATTGGGGTACATGTGCTTCTATGCCTCAGCATTTCTATATCCCTTGGGTAAATTCCTAGCAGTGCTATTGCTGGGTCATAGGGGAGTTCTACTGTTAACTTTTTGAGGAACCTCCACACTGTTTTCGAGAGTGGCTGTACCGGTTTACATTCCCACCAACAGTGTAAGAGGGTGCCCGTTTCTCCACATCCTCGCCAGCATCTCGTGTTCTCTGACTTGCTCATTTTAGCCACTCTGGTGTGAGGTGGTCTCTCAGTGTCGTTTTGATTTGTATTTCCTTGATGAGTAGGGATGCTGAGCATCGTTTCATGAACATGCCCAGAGATTTGATCCTGTAATTGGATCCTATACTTCCTTACAGTAGCTCTTCAGAGTACAGGCAGTGAGTGGTGGCCCTTGATTAAGCATTGAGGGTTTTTTGTTGTTTAAATGAACCAATAAATATTTCACTGGGACATCACTGGTATCTTGATTTGGTTTCAAAGTGAATGCAGCTACATGCCTCGAGTGACTTCTTTTAAACAATTAGGTCCTGTCTCCACCTTAACATTTTGTTCATTAGTCACTGTTGAACCTTTGTCCTTACTTGTCAGTATCTGAGGAAACATACACTTTAGCTCACAATGTCTACTTATTCTCTCCAACACTGTGATAAGAGTTTCCTTACTCATGGCCAACCTGTCAGAATGGAAACTCTGTATCACTGGGGGGGATTGGGAAATCTCGCTCAAGCTGTGTCCCTGTGACTCTAGTTAGGATGAAAATGGAAAGTGGTGATCTGGATGGTTATAAATGATAGGGGTTTTTGAAGTATCTGGATATTTTCATCTTTTAGATTAGTAGACCCCAAGTTCTTAAATTTGTGGTCCAATAAAAAAATTGAGGGGTCTCCCTATGACAACCTTACTTTGGTCAGGTTCAAAAAAGTAACAAGCTCTACTTCCTTTTGCCATCATTTCATAAAAGGCAGGCCATATGAATACCAAAAAAGGAAAGGTCATAAGCTCAGATTATAAGAGTGAATCGATTGTTTCATTGGAAACATGCTCTCTCTTGTTCTCATTTCCCACAGGACCCTGTGAGAACCCTGTGTTGGGGCTGAACACGGAACCTGCTTTGGGGACATAGGTCAGCATTTGTTTGGATGCCTGATATTTTGACAATACAGGCCACAGATGCCTGTCAGTGTAGGAGTCTTCCTTATGTGTTTTTCCTTCTTATCGACATGCTGAGGTGGTTGCTTTATATTTCAAGAGTTCTGCTGAATGGGTATGTCTTCCTATAGATGGCTTTTAAGTTCATGTTGCTTCTCTGGTAAGATAACTCAGCTGTGCTGTGGGCTTAGTGAAGATTACTCATTCTGAAACAGGATCAGCCTTACCCTTCTGCAGAGTAGGCAGTGGCTTACATGGCATGATTTGTGAGGTGCTGAGAAAACTTGAAAGTAATTCTTCCACTCAGTTGCCACACTGCTTGAAATCAAAATGTGAATATTTATTCCTTTGGGCTCCTTGAGGAGCCTTCTGTGTCCTCGTCTTTATTTACCCTCTGCCCTTAAGTCATCTCCATCACCCTGAAGGCTTGAAATACTTTGTAAAATGTACCTAACAGGACTTTTTTATTCAGGTATGGCGAGGCCAACAGATCAGGAGACAGATGTCATTGGAAGGTGGTGTGTTACACGTAGTTCCCCAGAGGAAGGACATGCCACGTTTCACAGGGCCACATGGGGAAGCACCAGAGTCTGCCAGGAAGCGTCAAGAGCAAAAGGCGAAAGCATGCACAAGAGGCTTTATTGTGATTTTCAGAGGAAGGAGGGAGAGGCAGTGTCAGCAAGCTAAGCAGGTTTAGGATGGGATAGTGTAAAAATCTGAGGGGGGCTCTGGGCTGGAGGGGTGGCCCTTCCTTGTCTGGTGCCAGGCTGTGGGAATGGTTATGGCAGGGGAATGCTGGTTTGATAGAACCTGATGAAGGAGATAGTTGCGGTGAGAGCTCTGGATTAGTTGGTTTGCATATGAAAGGCATGCTCTTAGGAAGACCTTTGCAATAGGTAGGAATGACCTAGCCCTGGGAGGGGTACTGAGGCTAAGGATGGCACAGCATCAAGAATGCAGAAAATAAGAAAAACATAGTTAATACACAAATCCCCAAATTGGTGTCTGCTTCCCAGACCTCCCTCTCATGCATATTCATCTCTCCAGCTGCTACTCAGCACCATCACTTAGATGCCCCAGGCCATTTCAGAATTAACCTGCCTCAAGTGAACTACCAATCTACCCCCAAATCTGGCCCTCCCCCTTTCCCCATCTCCGTAAATACTACCTCCAAAAACAAGCTGGAAGCCTGGGCAGCACCTTTCTTTTCCTTGTTTCCTATGTTACGTCCGTCTGCCACTCCTTTTAGTTCTTCCTCCAGAATAGATCTTACACTTCTCCACCGCTCTTAGCCACTGCTGCCATGTGAGTCCAGATCAATACTTCTCATCGATCTTCCAACTTCCAGTCTTCTCTGTGTGGGGAAGACACGATAGACAGCAAACCAACAATTATTTAACAACCAAAGAAAGAGTCAACAAATAAATACAGAAGCTATAAAATTATAAATGCTCTGCTCTTCTCCCATTTTCTCAGTCCCCCATCATTACTGCCCTGCAGCACAGGACAGGATCTATAATCCTGATATGTGCTAGAATACACTTGTAAAAATATTAAGCAGAGCTATCACTGCCTTAGTTAAAAGTCTTTAGAGCTGAAAGGTTTCAAACATGCTCAGAATCCAGCCCACTTTCTTACCATGAGCGAGACAATCCTGCAGGATACAACCACAGTCTAGCACTCTGGCTTCATTTCATGTCATCTTCACCCTCACTCACTGTGTTTTGTAGCTTTTTTGAGTTTCAGCAACATTCTAAACTCTTTCCTGCTGCAGGAACTTGGCAGTTGCTGGTAACCTCTATGTGAAAGTTTTTTTCTGAGACTTTGTGTGCCTCTGGCTTCTTCTTCTTTCTTACTTATCGGCTTAACAATTGCTTCTTTAATGCTTATTTATTTATTTTTAGAGAGAGCGAGCAAGTGAGAGAGAGAGAGAGAGAGCATGAGCCTGTGCATGCATGAGTTGGGGAGGGGCAGAGAGAGAGGGAGAGAGAGAATCCCAAACAGGTTCCATAGTGTCAGCACAGAGCCTGACACGGGGCTCCATCTCACAAACCGTGAGATCATGACCTGAGCTGAAATCTAGAGTCAGACATTTAACCTACTGGACCACCCAGGTGCCCCAACAATGATTTCTTTAAAGAATACTTCTCTGATCACCCTCTCTAACCACAGCTCTCCCCCCACCACTCTACCTATCATATATAACATCAGTTGTTTATCTTATACTATACTGATGTTTGGTTATCTTGTTTTCGTTACCCTGTTACAGGGTCTTCTCTGCCTGAATGTTAGCTCCAGGAGGTCTGGCCATCACTTGTCCTCTCACCGTTATAGCTCCTTGCATATAATAGGTGCTTGATAAGTATTTTTTAGATGAAAGAATTATTTAGACGATGCCTTTTCACATGATTTTTGAGCTTTATTGAAATATAATTGACATGAATAACACTGTGTATATTTAAGATGTACAACATGATGACTTGATAAAGGTATATATTGTGAAATGATTACCATAGTAAGGTTAGTTAATACACCCATCACCTCACATATACTATTTGTGTGTACGTATATACTATTTGTATATGTGTGTGTATTGAGAACATTTAAGATTTGCTCTCAGCAGCTTTCAAGCATACAATACAGTATGGGTAACTGTAGTCACCAGGCTGTACATTACCTTCCCAGAACTCATTCATCTTACTATTGGAAGTCTATACCCTGTGACCAACATCTCTCCATCTCCCCTACCCCCCACCTCCTGGAAACCACCATTCTAGTCTATGAGTTGATGATTCTTTTAAACTTCAGGGCACAACTCCTGAGACACGACAGCCTAGTGAAAGTCAGCTAATCACTTTGTTTTCTTCAGGTTGGAGCAATCTCCTGGAGAAGGAGCAATTCTCCTAGAGAAAGGATAATGTATAAATTTATATAAAAGATATGTGGAGAAATTGGTGTCCAAATGAATGATTTGTGGGTTTTAAGTTTTAATTTGTTTTATTTTTTAAAGCTGTCATTTCTTAAGAACTTACTGAGTGCCAGTCTGTGCCTACTATGTTTTCAAAATTATCTTACTTACTCATCACAATAACCCTAAAATTACCCATCTGTATTCACTATTATTATTCTCATATTACAGATAAGGTTTATGAGGGGGGATTTGTAAGATGACAGTTTTTATTTGGTTTTCAGTTTTGTGTTATTTAATAGCACTCCATAAAAATGGGAGAGTCTGTGGCCTCTGGGGCCACATAGAATTGGGTTTTCATTCCATGGCACCATTGCTATGTATGTAACCTTGAATATATTTCTTAAAATTTTTAAAATGTTTTTTAAATGTATTGCTGAGAGAGAGAGTGAGAGAGAGAGAGAGAGGCAATATGAGCAAGGGAGGGTCAGAGAGAGAGGGAGATACAGAATCTGAAGCAGGCTCCGGGCTCTGAGCTAGCTGTCAGCACAGAGCCCGATGTGGGGCTCGAACCCATGAACCGTGAGATCATGACCTCAGCCGAAGTTGGACGCTTTACCGACTGAGCCACCTAGGTGCCCCAATTTAACCTCCTTACTAATTATTATCTTTATGAAAATAATGGAAAAACATTAGTGCCTACCCAGAGTTGTGGTGATATTACTTTAGATTAGATGATAGTGGAACTTACTGTAACACAGTGTCTGGCATATAGAAAGTGTTCTGAAAATAGTAGCTGTTATGATCATCCCCAATTTTGTAGCATTTAAGAGCAGTGCATATAAAAGCAAGTGCAGTGTCTTTGGTTTAAGGGAGCGAGATGTCCCAGTTTAAGAATGCTATAAAACTATAGAAGAAATTTCTATACTTAAATGTCTTTGAAGAAGCTTGTGATACATGTCATGATTATATTTGTAATAAAATAAAATGAAAACGCTGATAAAATATCACATAAAACATCCGCAGTATGGCTCAAAATGTAATTTCTGAGTTTATAATGAATACATTAATAAGAGCCAATGGATCAACCTCATTTGCAATTGCATTTAAAGAAAAAGATTCTTCTTGATTTCTGTTTTGTTTCTGAACTTGTTATAGTGTCGTTTTGGTATTAGAGTTGAAAAAGCTTTGAATTATGCTCTCTCCTCTCTTCATTTTTCCCCACCTCCTGCCACTGTCCAGGTCATAAAAAATTGCTCTTAATAATCTAAGAGCAATTTCCTAAGTCTTTGTCCAAACTTGTTTTATGGAAACTCAAGTGATGTGGCTGCTTCTTCTCTTTTGGAAGCTGGCTCCATGGCTCAGTAGCTTGCGCAGTCAGCAGAGATTACCCGACACTGTACCTTCATTTTCTCTTTCATAATTCCATCCTATGACTCTTAGCTAACACCTTTTGCATTATCCAAAGTAATTCACTTCTTTCCTTGATGTTTGCATCCTTCAGGTATTAGTGCACTGTTATCATGACCCGCCTTTAATTGTCACTTAGTCAGGCTTTACATATTTAGCTCTTTTCATCTTTCCCCATAAGTTCAATCCACCAGGCCTATAATCATTTTGTTACTCTTCTTTGAGCCCTTTCCAATTTGTCTGCCTCTTTCTGGAAATGAGGCTCCCAGAAATGACTGCATCATAACACATATATTCCCCACAAGACTGTGTGGAGTCACAGAGCTGCTTGGTGGGAGAAGTGATATCATGTTGAGCCAACCTCAAAATGAGATGGTGTTGCATTTCACTTTACATTTGCTTGTGCACATCACTGATCTCCTTGCCTAGGCTTCAAGTTCCTTGAGAGAAAGAACTGTGCACAGTGTTCTTGTTTGGAGTGGGTAAGTACCGTCCACCTTAGAGGCACTTTGGAATCACCTGATGACCTATAAAAAACGCTAATGCCTGGCTCCCATCCCCAGGTATTCTGATTTAATTGGTATGGGATGTGAGTCGTCCGTCAGAATTTTTTAAAGCTCCCTAGGTGATACAAATGCACAGCAAAACTTGAGAACCACTGCCTTAAATAACAGGTACTTAGTAAACATTTGACAGGTGAACGGATAAATCAACACTGCATTACTTACCTTTTCCTCAGCTAATATCAGAGTATCTCCAAGAGTAATAGACCCACAGCTTTCTGCCACTGCTATTTATCTATGCTTTGTACTTTATATAGGTAGATTCAAACTTTTCCAGGTCACCACTCATTGATTTTTTTTTTGGGCCAGAATTTCTAGAAGCTTTAGAGGAATTGTATCACATGCTTGACATGTCAGTTTTCTGACAGGCTTCTTAGTTTAATGATGCTCTCATGTTTAAGTATTTCATTCTACATCCTTCCATGTGCTTGGGAATGAAGTAAATCAGTTTCCCTTCCCCCTTTTGTTTCCATTCATGCATTTTTATAGCAGTTGTCAAACCAATGAAGACCTACTTTATTTAAATGACTACAAGCTTTTGCAATGATTTTTCTTGGCAAATTTGATTCAAGAACAGCATTTCTATCTAGATGAGATTATGTAATTCATAGTTGAGAAAATTTCAAGATATAGTTCAGCATATTCATTAAGTATCATGTCAATTCAGTAGTAGATTTTTAAAGCAGTATTTAAATGCAGCATTTTTAAAGTAGATTTCTAGGGCAGTTTTAACTATGAAAAAATTGAACAGAAAGTAAAGAATTCCCATAGATTGTGTGTGTGTGTGTGTGTGTGGGTGTGTGTGTGTGTGTATGTTTCAACCGGTACTGAGGCTTAACATTATATACAGGGAAATGTCTTTTTTAATTTTTTAATTTTAATTTTTTTCTTTCATAGTTTATTGTCAAGTTGGTTTCCATATAACACCCAGTGCTCATCCCAGCTAGTGCCCTCCTCCATGCCCATCACCCCCTTCCCCTCTCCCCCACCACCATCAACCCTCAGTTTGTTCTCAGCATTCAAGAGTCTCTCATGGTTTGCCTCCCTCCCTCTCCCCAACTATTTTTCCTCTTCTCCTCCCCCATGGTCCTCTGTTAAGTTTCTCCTGTTCCACCTATAAATAAAAACATATGGTATCTGCCCTTCTCTGCCTGACTTATTTCGCTCAGCATAACACCCTCCAGTTCCATCCACGTTTCTACACATGGCCAGATTTCAATCTTTCTCATTGCCAATTAGTATTCAATGGTATAGATAAACCACATCTTCTTGATCCGTTCGCCAGTTGATGGACACTTAGGCTCTTTCCACGTTTTGGCTATTGTGGAGAGTGCTGCTATGAACATTGGGGTCCTTGTGCCCCAATGCATCAGCACTCCTGTATCCCTTGGGTAAATTCCTAGCAGTGCTATTGCTGGGTCATAGGGGAGTTCTATGGTTAATTTTTTGAGGAACCTCCACACTGTTTTCGAGAGTGGCTGTACCAGTTTACATTCCCACCAATAGTGTAGGAGGGGGCCCATTTCTCCACATCCTCACCAGCATCTATAGTCTCCTGATTTGTTCATTTTAGCCACTCTGACCGGCAGAGGTGGTATCTCAGGGTGGTTTTGATTTGTATTTCCCTGGTGACAGGTGACGTTGAGCATCGTTTCATGTGTCTGTTGGCCATCTGGATGTCCTCTTTGGAGAAGTGTCTGTTTATGCCTTCTGCCCATGTCTTCAATGGATTATTTGTTTTTCGGGTGTGGAGTTTGGTGACTTCCTTATAGATTTTGGATACAAGCCCTTTATCTGATATGTCATTTGCAACTATCTTTTCCCATTCTGTCGGTTGCCTATTAGTTTTATGGATTGTTTCCTTTGCCGTGCAGAAGCTTTTTATCTTGATGAGGTCCCAATAGTTCATTTTTGCTCTTGATTCCCTTGCCTTTGGGGATGTTTCAGGTAAGAAATTGCTGCAGTTGAGGTCAAGGAAGTTTCCTGTTTTCTCCTCTAGGGATTTGATAGTTTCCTGCCTCACTTTCAGGTTCTTTATCCATTTTGAGTTTATTTTTGTGTATGGTGTGAGAAAGTGATCTAGTTTCATTCTTCTGCACACTGCTGTCCATTTCTCCCAGCACCATCCATTAAAGTAGTTGTCTTTTTTTCATTGGATACTCTTTCCCGCTTTGTCAAAGATTAGTTGCCGATACATTTGTGGGTCCAATTCTGTGTTCTCTATTCTATTCCATTGGTCTATGTGTCTGTTTTAGTGCCAATACCACACTGTCTTGATGATTACAGCTTTGTAGTAGAGGCTAACATCTGGGATTGTGATGCCTCCCAGTTTGGTGTTCTTCTTCAATATTACTTTGGCTATTCGGGGTCTTTCGTGGTTCCATACAAATTTTAGGATAGTTTGTTCTAGTGCAATTTTGATTGGGATTGCATTGAATGTGTAGATTGCTTTGGGTACTAATGACATTTTAACAATATTTATTCTTCTGATCCATGAGCACGGAATGTTTTTCCATTTCTTTGTGTTTTCTTCAGTTTCCTTCATAAGTTTTCTATAGTTTTCATCATACAGATCTTTTATATCTTTGGTTAGGTTTTTTCCTAGGTGTTTTATGGTTTTTTTGTGCAGTTGTGAATGGGATCAGTTTCTTGATTTCTCTTTCTGTTGCTTCATTATTGGTGTATAAAAATGCAACCAATTTCTGTACATTGATTTTGTACCCTGCTACCTTGCTGAATTCATGGATCAGTTCTAGTAGGCTTTTGGTAGACTCTGTTGGATTTTCCACGTAGAGTATCGTGTTGTCTGCGAAAAGTGAAAGTTTGACTTCTTTGCCAATTCTGATGCCTTTTATTTCCTTTTATTGTCTGATTGCTGTCTTTAGAATCTTTGTTGTGAGAGGTGTCTGGGTGGCTCAGTTGGTTAAGCATCTGACTTCGGCTCAGGTCATGATCTTGCAGTTTGTGAGTTTGAGCCCTGCGTTGGGCTCTGTGTAGGGCTCTGTGCTGACAGCTCAGAGCCTGGAGCCTGCTTCTGATTCTGTGTCTCTTTCCCTCTCTGCCCATCTCCGCTCACCCTCTATCTCTCTTTCTCTCAAAAATAAACATGAATCTTTGTTTTGAATTTAATGTTTTAAAGTGAATACTACGTAGGGAATTATTAAATTTGATGACAAGAATGTGAAACTACATTGTGCTGGTCTTTTAATCATAATCATAAAAAGAATGGAGTTTATGTTGCATGGTTTGGAGTTTATTCTTCTTTATTTTCACTTTTAGTGCAATCAGAAGGAACATAGCCAAAATCCAGCTCCCACACAAGATCACACTGAACCCACATTTTTTTTTTTACAAATAGTTTATTGTCAAATTAGTTTCCACATAACACCCAGTGCTCATCCCCACAAGTGTCCTCCTCCATGCCCATCCCCCCTCCCCCCCACATCCATCAGTCCTCAGTTTTTGGTCAGCATTCAAGAGTCTCTCATGGTTTGCCTCTCTCCCTTTCCCCCACCATTTCCCCCCTTCTTCTCCCCCTTGTTCCTCCGTCAAGTTCCTCCTAATCCTCCTATACGTGCAAACATATGATATTTGTCCTTCTCTGCCTGACTTATTTCGCTCAGCATAACACCCTCAAGGTCCATCCATGTTGCTACACATGGCCAGATTTCATTGTTTCTCATTGCCATGTAGTATTCCATGGTATAGATAAACCACATCTTCTTGATCCATTCATCTGTTGATGGACACTTAGGCTCTTTCCATGTTTTAGCTATTGTGGAGAGTGCTGCTATGAACATTGGGGTACATGTGCTCCTATGCATCAGCATTTCTGTATCCCTGGGGTAAATTCCTAGCAGTGCTATTGCTGGGTCATAGGGGAGTTCTATGGTTAGTTTCCTGAGGAACCTCCACACTGTTTTCGAGAGTGGCTGTACCAGTTTACATTCCCACCAACAGTGTAGGAGACCAAACCCACATTCTTATCTTGAGAGGCTTCCTTCTAGTGATGGCCAAGACACTGAAAGACAAGTCTCTAGAATGTGAGGCAGTATGAATGTCACCAAAAGGGCAGTTTATTGGAACAAGCACTTGACCTTCAGTGATGGTACATTGTCTTTAACATGTAGAAATTCTTTACTTGAGGCTTACACAAGATTGAAAGGCCTACAGGTAGTTCTTGTTCATGGCTTCTTTGTCTTCTGCGCCCTGCTTTTACCAAACACTGACAGTCTGAAAAATCAAAGAAAACAGTATAGTTACCAGTTGTCTCAGCCAGTTATGTTTGAGGTCGAAGAAAGGCCCAAGCTTTAATTAACCCCAGTAATGAACAAAAAAGAGAGAAAAAAGTCCAAAGAGCTTCTTACTTAGTTGCCCATAGTATCAGATAAATGATTTTTAGAAGTCTCCAAGCCAATTGTCTAATGACCTTCACTTTATGAAAGGCAAATAATATAGTATGTGATATCTTTATTAAAATCTACGAAGCCATATTCAGTAAAATTCTTGTGGGTAAAATTCAGTTTTTCTAACATTTTCCTTAGTCTGTCAGGTATATATACATGTTTTACCAAACCACAAAAGACAGTGAAAGCGTATATTTATCTCTGGACTCAGAATTAACTGTTGACTCTGCTACCACTGCCGTAAACTGTGGACAATGACAAGCTTTTCAAAGATGTTTGCAAAGGAAAACATCATAGAAATCTCTCAGAGGCCTTTAATTAATATAATATTTGTTAATAATCAGAAGGGAATTGGTCTAAAGTACTTTTGCTCAAAAAGCAGTAGAATGCAGCACAGCAAAATCTCAGGTTTGGGCAACTGGGATATAGTAGTTAGCTGTGTGATACAGAAAGTCAAAAATTGTTTGGGAAAGAACTTTTGAATTGCATTATGTCGAAACTTCTCCAGTCTTGATAAAAAGCAAGGGGTGTTGATTAAATTTTGCTTACTAGCCCACTGTAAATAGTTTATATCTGTGGGTTGTTTTTGTGTTTGTTTTAGAGAAAGGGAGAGAGTGTAAGTTGGGGAGAAGGGTGGGAGAATTTTAAGCAGGCTCCACACTCAGCACAGAGCCTGATGAGGGACTTGATCTCAAGATCCTGGGATCATGGTGTGAGCCAAAATTAAGAGTCAGATTCCCAACCACCTGAGCCATCCAGGAGCCCCTAAGTATTTTTTAAAACTTTTAATTTAAATTTCAGTTAGTTAACATACAGTGTAATATTAGTTTCAGTTGTACAGTTCAGTGATTCATTATTTACAGACAACACTTGGTGCTCATCAAGTGCATTCCTTAATTCCTATCATGTATTTCACCCCCCCCCCCAGCCACCCACCTCTTCTCTAGTAACCCCTCCTCAGTTTGTTCACTATAGTTAAGAGTCTGTTTCTTGGTTTGTCTTTCTCTCTCTCTTTTTCCATATGCTCCTTTGTTTTGTTTCTTAAGTTCCACATATATTTGTTGGCTTTTAAGAGGTAGGATAGGGACTGCCTGCATGGGCTGGGGAACAGCTACTAAAATGTAACTCCCTAGGCCTGACTCTAAACCCATTGTGGCAGGGTCTCTGTGGGTGGGGCCAGAAAGCTGAATTTTTAACAGGATCCCTAGGTGATTCTTATGTACACTAGCATAAAGTTGATTTGCAGAGTATAGACTAGGATGGGTCAGAAAGTGTTGAGTGCTTTAAGGTCTCCTTATTTTGCTTTGCTAATCATAAATTGAAACAAAATGTACGCTGGGACTATAGAAAATCAAGTGGTGAGTTCTCCTGTGCTAATAGTTCATCTTTAAATAACTGGATACAGAGAGGTCTCAAATTCTTTGCTTTAATATTTTAGCTCTTGAGCTAGTATGGGTCTTAGATGATGAAAAAGAAACATGAATTAAAGGAAAGTAATCTGAATATAATCAATTCTCTAACAGGAAAATGGAGTGGGATTAAGATCAGGTGAACTTTGTAGTAAAAGTTGCTTCATAATTGTAGTTGACTATATATACTTATGCTTAAACTAACAATCCAGTTTCTGTCATTTTAGTTCAGTTTTTTTTTTAATTAAAAATTTTTTTTAATGTTTATTTTGGAGAGAGAGACAGAGCATGAGCAGGAGAAGGGCAGAGAGAGAGAGGGAGACACAGAATCCGAAGCAGGCTCCAGCTCTGAGCTGTCAGCTCAGAGACTGATGCGGACTCGAACTCAGAGACTGTGTGATCATGACCTGAGCTGAAGTCAGATGCTCAACTGACTGAGCCACCCAGGTGCCCCTAGTTCAGTTATTCTTAATTTATCTTGCCTACTCTCTTTTTTAAAGATCTGGTTTAAACACATCTCAAGTATTGTTAAGAAAAGATATTGCAATCTGATGTACTTAACTGATTTTTATTTTTCAGAGTTCCAGTTCTTAAGAGTGGTCAGAACAAGAAAGTAGCACTCCTGTAGAATTTAGCTGAATAAGATCTATTCCTACCCAACTGTGTTATACATTACACTAAAAATACAAAGAAAGCAGATAAAATTTTAGAGGGTTATTTATTCTCATCAAAGAAACAAAAAAGGTCTATGGGGCAGATTACCTCACTGGTGCTGATCAGAAAGTTCCAAAATGACTGGTTAAGATTACATTCCTGGAGAAGTTTAAAACTGTAATTAGGTTAGATATTAAGCCTTGCTTTGATGATGTGGACTTAGCACTAGTTGGACTTGTTGTTTCCTTTTAACAGAATGTAAGAACCTATTTAAAAAAATTTTTTTAAAAAATTTTAATGTTTATTTTCGAGAGAAAGAGAGAGACAGAGTGTGAGCAGGGAAGGAGCAGAGAGAGAGGACACAGAATCCAAAGCAGGCTCCAGCCTCTGAGTTGTCAGCACAGAGCCTGACATGGGGATCAAACCCATGAAGCGTGAGATCATGACCTGAGCCGAAGTCAGATGCCTAACTGACTGAACCATCAAAGTGCCCCTGTAAGAACCTATTTTAAGTCATAGCTCTGCAGTCATTGTTTGTGAAACCTTAAGAAACTTGCCGGCTTGAAGTTTCATTTTTTTCATCATTAAAATGATTAAGTCAACTTACACACAGGATTACAATAACACTTAAATAGTATGTCAGAAATGCTTTATAACTGTGTTATGGGTAAGCATACCTATTTCTGCACTGTTTTAGAACTCTGTTTTTATGAATAAGTTTTATTTTTAAAAGAAGTTCATATTTTGATGGTCTTACTTATTAGTAATTATGTTTATTTAAATAAATATTATTCTTTAAAACAAATTTCCAAAAATTTGCCTTGTCAGGTTATTGGTCTCTTCTAGAAGACATTGAAAAGTAATAAAGCTGTATTTCAAAATATAGAATCCTTACTCATACTTTTTTTATACAAGGATATTCAAATCACTGACATTTCAATACTCAAGGCTTTGAGGAGCCAATGCTTATAATACAGGAATTGAGAAAATATTTAAATAAGAGATATGAATATTTTTGATGAAAATACTGGCCATATTTATCCTTTTATTCCAAGTACAAAAATAATTAATAAGACAAACTTTAATGACCTTAGCTTTTCTTTTTTCCTTTTTTTTTTTTTTTAATGTTTTATTTATTTCTAGGAGAGAGAGACAGAGACAGCGTGAGCAGGGGAGGGTCAGAGAGAGAGGGAGTCACAGACTGAAACAGGCTCCAGGCTCTGAGCCGGCAGTCAGCACAGAGCCCGACGCGGGGCTCGAACCCACGAACCGCGAGATCATGACCTAAGCGAAAGTCGGACACTTAACCGACTAAGCCACCCAGGCGCCCCAAGACCTTAGCTTTTATTAATTATCACTTATTTTTGAAAAATGCTGAAATGTGAAATAATGGAAGAGTGACGTTATTAGTAATTATAATCAATAAAATCATCTTTAAAACATTTCAATTTTCTTTTCCAATACATTTTTTTAAATAAGTGGGGTAAAATTGAATTGACGGATTAATTTGGCTTTTTGCTTCTTTCTTCCTCATCACATTAAAATTTTCAAATCCAGTGAATGGGAAGAGGGAGGCTATGAGATTTATTTTCTCCCCAAGTAAAAGGCTTAGCTCTGAATAATTTCAGATACCACTTTACGATATCAAAAAGACTTTAACAGCATTAAATATATTTTTGAAATCCTTAGTTTTTTTTCTCTTAATTTTTCCATATTTAATTTTGACATTAAATGTCAGGTCAAGCTTTTGGGTAAGAGGTCAAATTACAAGGTTAATCTTTTAATCCGCATCAATAAGGGCTTTTCTAGAAGGATCCTTTGGCACCATGGCAACAAGGGGCATATACTGAGTAAGGTAATGACAAAAACACATGAATAGAGAAACAGACCATAGGTAAGGATAATGCCATATAGACAACTCAAACTATTTCAAATTCTCATGAACACTCATCTTCAGAAGATTCATTTTTCATTAAAACTTTTCAGCTTTGGCCATAAAACTCTCATTTTTCAGAATTTGCTTTCCTAGTCACACAGTCCCCTACACTTATCCCACAAGAACCAAAGTAGAGACTCTGTGGAATCTGTGCTTGTATTTGAAGTCAACATAGAGTGTACCCAAAATATTATCTTTAAAGGAAGGAAATAATCCTTTAGTACCAGACATTTGAAAAGGTACATTTTTTTCTATATAGTCAAACACGAGGAATGAGAAAATAGAATTTTCTTGTTTAAGAAATCACTTCAAAAATAAGAAATTAAGCCAAAAAAGCCTGCTATGTTAAAACTTAAGGCTTAAATTCTAAAACACATTTCAGTTCTTCTCCAGATAGAAATTTGCTATATATTTCATATTCTCACTAATTTGATTTCCTTTTTAAGATTTTTTTTTTTAAGAGAAGGGGTCATGTTATCATATTATCTTTTTTCCTCCTGATGCCCCACACAGTTCCTTGATCAAAATAGACATGGTATAAACGTTTGTTCTTTATGTGAACACACATGTGTGAACCATTGAGAAGGCACCAGGGAAATTTCCTGTGTTCCAAACTCAATCAAACATTTTATCAAACAGCATTTCCTCTCAACTCTGGGGTAAAAATGATTTCTTAGGACTTTGTCAGACTACATTTTAGGTATTGGTTAAGAATTGTCTCGATGATAGCAACAAACGAATATCCATTGAGTACTTAGTGTGCGCCACTGCTATGCCAAGGTCCTCATGCATATTGTCTTCTTTTATTAAAATTTTTAATCTTTATCTATTTTTGAGAGTGAGGCAGAGAGAGACAGAGTGTGAGCAGGGGAGAGGCAGACACAGAATCTGAAATAGGCTCCAGGCTCTGTCTGAGCTGTTAGCACAGAGCCTCACGCGGGGCTTGAACCCACAAATTGTGAGATCATAACCCGAGTCGAAGTTGGACACTTAACCGACTGAGCCACCTAGGTGCCCCACATGTTGTCTTCTTAATCCTCACTAATATTTGAAATATAAAGCACACTTGATACTCCCATTATTCAGAAGGTAAAGTGAAGATCTGAATATTCTGTCCAAGGTTACTCAGCTCGGTAGTTGCAGAGTCTGGGTTGTCTCTACAGACTTTCTTCCTGTTAACATAGCATTGGTAGGATGTGAAGTGAGAGCCCAGGATAACAAGTGCCGAAGATATTTTGTTTAAGCTACCTCCAAACTCCCTGCTCCCAATCCCAGCCCATCCACAAGATGGGCTCTACTGGTGGAAATAATGACTCATCCTTGCCCTGGATTTCCTGCCCTCCCTCTGGAAGCCTCACCCTGCAGCTTCTCTCCTTCAGTTCTTTACCCTGGACTTGTGTTCCCAGATCTTTGCTCAGCGGGTTTCAGGAAGGCAAGTGCACACAGTAGTGACGGCAGAGACCATGCGACTGATGCTACTCCGTGTAGTTACAGAACTCTAGAATGCTTGTACATATCAGACGGGGGAGACTTTGATCTCCATGTAGATCTAATGAGTGAACTTTCCCCACTCCCTTCTTTTCTGTGACTCTCCCTGCTGTTCTAAAACTCTTTCTACATTAGCTCTCTCCCCTCCGCAGACATTTCTTCCCCCTGTTTTTACCCATGCTTAAGCTTGATGCCAGCTACTTCTCTGAACGTGTTTCCTATTATGAACACGAGGCTTCTCTCTCTCTCTCGCTGGTCTGATGGGCAATTTAATACAGCAGCAATGTTGAGGCATGGAACAGTTTAGATGGTACCCAACAGGGGGATGGTGGCACACAGCATGCGGCGCTCACCTGCATCAGACGGCTAAATTACCTACAGTACAATAACTGCTTTGTTTATGGAACAGCAGATATTATCATTGCTTTCCTAGCAGTCTCTGTTTGCCAGTGCTTTCCTCAGTATCTCAGAAGTAAAAATTCCCACTAGACTGAACCCTTGGAAGGGAACCCAGATTTTCAAACCTGATTTTTAAATGATTCTGTTTGACTGCTTGCACCGCACAGTTAAAACACAGACCTTTCAGGAAAATATAAACTTCATGAATATTCACTTCCCTCTTGCAAATTTAAATGCCTCATTGAGCTGCAATGCACTTCACTTTAGGAAAAACAAATGGAAATTGGTTGATGCATTTTATCAAGTTAGACAAGTTCTTTTTCTTCTCTCTCTCTTTCTTTCTTTCTTTTTCTTTTCTTTTCTTTTCTTTTCTTTTCTTTTCTTTTCTTTTCTTTTCTTTTCTATTCTATTCTTTTCTTTTCTTTTCTTTTCTTTCTTTGTTTCTTTCTTTCAACTTCTTATCCTATGTCTCTAGCTCCCTTTATTTCTTGTTCGCTCTGGCATTCTTCCTGGAATCAGAGGCAAATTTGAAATGGTTCTAAATTTAGGTTTTCAAACTTAGCAATGCCAGATAGTGTATTTTTTCACATAGACAAGGTAGATAGAACAAAAGTCTCTAAAAGTCACCTGGCGAGTTAGCACTACCTCATATAAAACCTGAGCATCAGGTCCACATCAGCAATATCTGTTACTGTCACACTGCCATGGAGATGCCTCCTGCCCCCACTTCCTCCAACACTTTTATCTGGAAGGAATAGGTTAAAAAGAACACAAACAGGTCTGAAGGAACTAAGACATGGCTGGAGGGTGGTCACATGGA